ATCCAAAACGAAGGATATCTATATTTAGATATCCAATTGAAGAGGCTGTTGAAGTGTATTTTTTCACTAAAATCTCTATTCCTATAAATTAAGAAAGATATAAAAAATCCCTCGGAGATGATCTTAGGGGGCGACAACTTTCTCTTTAATGCCTAGATCTCCACTAGTGCACTTCTCTAGTCGCTTCCGCCGTCGCCCAGTGAGCAGCTGTAGTTACCAGTGTTAGTGAAATCACCTTTTTCTCCCCATCCCTTCTACCTCCCTCTCATATCTAATTTCCTATTTTGATCATGGGTTGAGGAAGAGGCATGCGCAAGGGGAAAGAACGTCAACACACGGGCTCCTTTTCGAGGTCCTATGCCTCCCTCCCAGGAGGGCCGTGTGCAGTCCATCTGGAGCATGCACCATTAAGGATGATATGTAGAACCCTATCGTCATTGCGAAGGGGTTGGGCCTGAGAGCTTCATGTGGCATGGGGTTTGTATTGCCGGTATTGGGGTCAGTGGACGTGTGAGTAGTGTCCACGGCCTATGGTAGGTAGATCCTATTGCAGGAGGCCTTCCCAACTGGAATCTCTCTCTCTCTCTCTCTCTCTCTCAAACGGTGAGGTCTTCACCGAGGACTGACATCATTCAACGTTGGTTTCCTTTGCACATGAGGGTTTGGTGCTATTACCATATTTTAATATCTGAAGTCTCCAATGGTGATGGCATTTTTGAGCTTGATGGTCAGGGTTCAACAAGTGTTTGGAGTTGTTCTTCACCTATGTTTTTTTTTTGCTTGAGCACCAGTTCTATTTTCTTCAAAATGTGGCGAAATGCTTGTTGGTGATGTTATTTTCCTTTTGTGTCCTTTGTTGGTAGGTGCATCAGTGTTGATTTCGCGGTTCCAAAAAGATTGTACTCTTATGTTTGGATTAAGTCAAACTTTTTAAATTTAACTAGATATATAAAAAATATATATAGTATATATAAACGTCTATATCGGAGGGAGCACGACAAACACAGAACAACGCAGATTAGGTGCAGTGACAAAGAACCGGACTCTATTTAGATCCAGAATAATGCAGTGGTCCATGTCCATCCATGGCATACTACGTGATGTCCACGGAAAAACATGCTTCTCTGAATCCGATGTAAAACCTGGCATCCAATATTTTGATTTTTCGCATGTGCAGTGGTAACTCGTCCATGACCATGAGCCCAGTTCTGACACACCAAAACTTCCACGGGAAGTACAGAGCAAAAAAAAAAACCGAGGCATCCGCTTGACCCACAGGGCACATGAATGGCCTCCCCGGCAACATACTCACTTTCCTCACATAAATTTTACAACCCAAATCAGTAAGCACATTTCAATTTAACAAATTTTGTAATCCATGAACTAACTAGATAAAGATCCGTCTCGTGATTTACAACCAAACTGATTACTTTTTAATAAGAAGCTCAACTGCACGGCTTGAAATTGAATGATTTGCTGGGAGAGGTTGCTGCTGCAATAAATGGATAGCCAATAGGGCCAGATCACGCTAATTAAGCGTAGGCCGGTCCAGTCTGAGGTGCTCGTATAGCTCGGTTGGGTGGGTGTGCACTGCAATTCGCAAAAAAGAAAAAGGTCCAGATCACCACCTCAATACTTTCATGATTTCTGTCTCCTCATGATTGTCTTGCCTAGCGCTTATATTACTAATATCAGCATCACATTAACATGTGTATTTTATGGTTGTGGAGGGTGTTAAACTGCAATCATCAGCCCCAGTGCAGAGTCCACTTCACAATCACAGGGAGATCACCTCCTAACAGAATTGCTTTCTTCTAGACGAAAAAGGAGGATGGACGGCCACCCAAGGCCTGCTGAATTGGCGGGTGGAAGAAGAGTTGTTGCTGTGCTCACTTGAACATTCTTGCAAGCTGGCATTGTAGACAGAATATTAAGTGCACAATGAATGATCATTTGAACTCTAAACTCTTGCTGCCTACAGTAAAGTATTTTGACCATATCTTTTCCTTAGGCTTATTATGAAGACAATCAAAAAGAAAAGAAAAGAGATTTTCAACAGCAATGCAGTTTTATTTGGTATCATACTGGGTCTCAGAACACTGTTAATCCCTTGAGCAAAAGAAAGTAAGAAAACGACTGCAGTTTTATGAATTCTGTTGCAAAGAAAGTAAGAAAGTAAGAACACTGTTAATTCTATTGAACACTTGAATCATTGTGCAAGAAACTGTAATTCTGGTATGGACACTTGATTAATGGGGCACAAGCTAAACAGTTTCAGATCTTCAAAACCAACCTTGCTCATGATATGCTAACTCCAGACCATGTGACCTGCCCTTTTGGTTTAAGGATACGTACTGTAATACAGCTGGTTTTCTTTTCTTTTTCTTTTGTAAGGGCTATTCTGCGCTGTATATGTTCTAGGACTTGTGACAAGTTGAGAAAGAGAGGTCTAGGCATCCAGGTTGTATGGGCTAGGACGCCCTCTAGGTCCCCTACACATTTCAAGCCATTTAATTCAAAAATGGGCGGAGGAAGTTGTGATCTACCCACAGAGGTTCAGAATGGGGTGGTCTATACACAGAAAGAAACTGGGACAAGAACAGCTGACCTTGCAAACTACCTACTCCAGTAATTCATACCAGTTCCCCTGGAAAGACTGATTCCTCGTCTTACCCAAACTTTGTTCCTGCCTACAGCAGAAACCTCAGAAGGTAGCAGGGTAATTCTTGGCCGCCTGAGTCCTGATAGCTTGACCTATGAACTAATCCAACCATGGTTTAAAAGGATGAGGTGGTAACTAATTGGCACACAGTTAAGGTATATGTGAGATTAAGATTTTGCTTAAAAAATCTTTTACTTCTCTTGTTATTGAGCATCCCTGTTTTGGCCATTGATGTGACAGCCACAAAAGATATATTTTTCTTTTAAGAATAATTGTTATGCAAGATCTCTTGTTGGATCCAGAGCCATTTAGAGCAACAGAAATCACTATTACTATCTTAATTATCATTTGGTATTTCAGTTAGTTTAAGGGCCTATATTAGAATTTGGCACAGGGTCCATATATATATATATATATATATATATATATATATATATATATATATATATATATATATATATATATATATATATATATATATAATAAGTTCAACCAATGCCGTCCCTCCGTCCATTGCTGTCAAATTGAATTTCCTAGGCAATCTAGTGTACCCTCATCGGCTACCCGAGAGACATAAATACCTTACAATGACAATGCATTAGCAGTACAGAATCATAATAATCTGTCCTTGAACCGAAGTATCTAGGCCACATGATTGGATTATTCAAAGAAGGTTTGTTTTGATCTCTCTTTCGTGTAAGGTATATGTCTTGTTTCATTTATCTGACTGGTATGGGAAACGATGTTGAGGTATGTGGCTCTTCGGGCCTGTTTGGCAAATATGTTTTTAGCTTCTACCAAACAGATATTTTGAAATAGCTTTTCTCTAAAATCTGTTTTTCTCTCACGTGCACAGGAACCTTGTGAAGCTGAAAATACTAGTTTCTCCCAACTTTTTCTCTGCTATCTTTGCTATCTTCCCTGAGAAGCTGTTTTAGCAAATGTTTTTTTGAAAACAACTTTAGCTTCACTGGTAAAGCTAAGTTGTACCGGGCCCTTCTTGTGTCTTGTTATCTTCCATCATGTTGCCGCCGCCTTGTAGACATTCCTAGTCAATACCAGTCCGATGGTCATTCTATCTATCTGCCAAAGAGTCTGTTTTCCACACCAACTATGCATTTCGCTTTCTTGAAAACATCTCCAGCCTTCAACAAACAGTACAAGGTAAGATGTCTAGGGTAGAGATATAGCCAAGGTAAAATGAAATTGCATAGGCTGGAGAAGATTGAGCACAAATTATTTTCCTTTGCGGTATATATGCTCCTTATTTTGCATCTTTTAGATACTCTCTGAATTATGTTGCCATGTAACTGATATTCAGATCCCTAAAATGCATTTATTCAACTCAACGAATTTGCTAGTACGTACTTTCTTACCTTATATATATAATTGTTATTATTAAGATATGCTAGCTGTATCCCCGTGTCATCTCAAAGATGATTGTATCCGCCTCTGTTACATATGGGTATACAATGCCCGTATGCGTATTTGGGCAACATAGACAAAGACTACTTTCACTTCATGACCAATAGTCCAATACCTATGCACCTACGGAAGGTGCAAGGAAAAAAAACATTTTCCACCATGCATTGTACTTTCACCTATTTAAAAAGATGCTCGGTTAGTGCCTTATGCCTAGTAGGCTGTTTATTGGGACAAAACGACAGACTAATCTTCTTTTCCATAAACCCTCTATGAATGCTAATTAGCTTGCATCCAGGCACTAAAATAAAAACGACAATGCTCTAAATGATGCAAAAACGTAACTTCGGTACTTGCGAGGATTAGTACCACTATACCAGGCATTATCTGCCACCAATATTTCGACGTTGTTGAATGTGGCAGTGACTAGTGATGAAGGACGAAATTGCACTGAAAAGAGGCTCTGCTAATTGACAGCTGCCAACCATTCAGGCACAAACATTGGGAAAGCACTCAGAATTTATATAGAGAGACAAAAATGAGAGGAAGCACGCCTGTCATGCCTGTATATTCACAGCAGTTTAGTTGTGGTTGGTTGGCTGATCAAGTTCATAAATCTGAGTTGTACTAGAACAGTGCCGCCTGTGCATTGAATGGCATTTAAATGGTGTCGGTGAGCTCTCTTGAATGTGTGGACAATGGCACCCCCCCTATCCCCCAATTCTGTTGCCTACAAAAACCATTGGAATGCAGACTCATGGTTGTGCGGCGGACGAAATCACAGGGAAACCAGGAAGAAGGCAAGTACAGAGAATCAGAGCTGTCTGGGTGAAAGGGCAAAGGGACTAAGGGCAAAGGCAGGTAGAGGCCAACTGGCTGAGCTCGGTGTCTCCTCCAGGTTCCTCTCGGGGCTGCCATGGATTTGATCAGCAGAGGGGCTGTTTTCAAGGCCCTGGTGTTCCTCTGCTTCATCAGATCATCTCATGGTACATTTCGCCTATCCCATTCTGTAATCTTCACAGAGACTTGAATCATCTCCCTTTGAAACACTTTGTTCAGCTCCAGTCTTTTGGAAGGGCCTTGAGTGATCAAAGTGTCCCCCTCAGCCATGTTAGAGTTTGATAATTGACAGCTTTCTTTCATTATTTCTGTCTGTCTGTCAGCTTTTTCTGTTTCCCAAGGTTTAACTTGACATTTTGGTTTCACTCAGAAGTCAGAAGTAAAGACTTATCATGCTGCTTGGCATCAGTACTGCCTTTTTTCCCCTAAATTTTACTATTGTTTCTTAGTCCTTTAAGTGACACATGTTTATAACATCTTGATTTAAAATAATGAGACATACAAAATTGTTAAGAAAAAGCACAGAGAAGTTGGAGAGGGAAAAGAAGGGCAGCAAAAGGCGCACCTTTTTGGCATTTGTAACCTGTAGAATGAATAAGTAATAACCAGGGGACCTAAAGAATGGTTATTAAGTGTTAACATAACCAGAAACAAATAGTAACAGTTCAGAGAATAAAGAGATTGAAATCTTTACTCTGGAACCAAGCAGCTTCAGAAAATAACCTGGAACACTTGAATTTGCAGGAAGAGATCATTTAACCAAACTGAATCTCCCTCCCTTCCTGAAGGCAAGCAGGTTTCCCACGTTTCAGCATGAGGCATATGACTATATCATTATTGGTGGGGGCACAGCCGGATGCCCATTGGCAGCCACGCTGTCCCAAAACTACAAGGTACTCCTGCTGGAGAGAGGTGGGTCTCCATATGGTAACCGCAACATCACGTTACTGGAGAACTTCCACATTTGCCTGGCCGATGTTTCACCACAATCGCCATCACAAGGTTTCATCTCCACTGATGGCGTGATAAATGCCCGTGCAAAGGTCCTGGGTGGTGGAACCTGTATCAATGCCGGCTTCTACAGTCGGGCAAAACCAAGGTACACGGTTCTCATGTGCTGCTTTTACAAACAAAGTCAAATGACAAATAATCTATATGGAATTATGGATAATGAAATACAATAGGCCTAACTAGACTGTAGGTGTGGTGATGTCATATTCTCTAAACAGTGTGCATATCTTCTTTCTTAAGCAAGATTGCATTGAATTCTAGTCTGTAAACTATAAAACATAAATTGGCCAGCGGAAGAAGCCTAACTTGGTCTAGTAGACACAATGTTTCATACTTCCAACATGTTTAATGGAAGAAGCCTAACTTAGTCAAGTAGACACACTTCTTCAGCATGTTTACTCATGAACTAACCAGTCCTACATCAGCTGTTGTTTACACTATAAACTACATGCAAGCCATAATGATCATACCAAGATGGATCCAGCTTCCAGATTTCACACTTAGCTTAAGAATATTTATCTCTACACCTAACTGATCTCTACAGAACTTTTTCATATCACAATTTGAAATTTATTAGGAATTCCAGGAAGCGAAAATAGACAGTGATTGTGGAATAATATAGCATATAAATTTCCATGCTGGTAGTCAGTTGAATGGTTCAACTCGTCTGGAGGAAAGTAGGTAGGGCTGTCTTGCCATGTGGTAGCATAGATGAGGAAGAATCTAGACAAATTTTGGTAAAATCAAGTACGAATAACTTCCCAGAATTCCTTACGATACTAAAAGTTCTGATGAATTCATACCACCAAATTTTTTTTTGAACATAAACGGCGGGAGCTCTGCCTTTCAATTAAGATGAAAAGAGTCATATGTACAAGAAGGGGCAAGAGCCGCATACCACCAAATTGGAATGTTCAATACCAATTGTCTCTGAAATTTCTTCTCTAGGTTAGTTGTTGCTGAATGTACAATGATTTCTGAACCTGTCATGTCAATAGTGCTAGCAGAATGTTACTGTTATAAGTTTGTAATCAACATTTATGTGCTTGTTCTTTCAGCTTCGTGCAGAAGGCAGGCTGGGATGCAGAGCTGGTCAACCAGTCCTACCCTTGGGTTGAAGAGAGGATTGTTCATTGGCCCAAAGTCGCACCTTGGCAAGCTGCACTACGGGATGGGCTTCTGGAAGCAGGGGTCTCACCATACAATGGATATTCTTATGACCATCTCTATGGAACTAAAGTTGGGGGCACCATATTTGATGAGACTGGGTACCGGCACACGGCTGCCGACCTCCTTGCTGCTGGAAATCCTAACAACCTTAGGGTGCTTCTTCATGCTAGCGTGAACAAAATTGTTTTCAACACGGAAAAAGGTAACCATTGTCTAAGTAACAACTAGCAATTGTAATCCCCCAGCTCAACAGCAAACAAAAATTATTAGTATAGCTGAAGCAAAAAAAAAAAAAAAAAAAAAAAAAGGGCACCGTAAAGACATATTATTTTTACAGTAACCTCATCTCTTACACAGGCAAGAGGAAGCCAAGGGCTATTGGAGTTCAATTCAAAGATGAGAATGGAGGGCACCACCAAGCCTTCCTCAAAAGGAACAGGAGTAGTGACATCATTGTTTCTGCCGGTGCAATTGGCAGCCCACAGCTATTGTTGCTCAGTGGAATCGGACCGAAGAATGAACTCAATAAGCACAATATTTCTGTAGTACTTCGCAATGAACATGTGGGTAAAGGAATGTCAGACAATCCAATGAACTCAATCTTTGTACCTATGAAGAATCCGACAAAGCAATCTTTGATTGAAACTGTCGGAATAACGGATGCTGGCGTGTTTATTGAAGCCAGCAGTGGTTTCAGCCAGTCAGATGATAGCATCCATTGGCACCACGGAATCATGTCTGCTGAGGTCTGGCATCTTTTTTTCTTTTACTCGCATATGGTTTTCTAACTTCTTATATCCTTACCAGCATCCTGATGCATGACGCTAAATATTTTTATGCAGAAAACAACACCCTACAGTATTGATTTTAAGAAAATAGCTATTTGCATATCTTGATGAGAGACAATTTCCCAACCTTTTCCAAAGCTGCCATTCCTTAATCTTAAGTTTATGGATGCTCACGATAGGTATATAAAAAGAACCAGGAAACTGATTACATGTACATGGAAGTTCATATTATTCAGCAAATAGATGTTAACTTAGAACCATATACCTCCCAATTGTTAGCACATAAAGTGTATATATATTCTGGCACTTTCCTGTAATAATATTTTCAAACAGAGTAGGGGCATTAGCAATATTTTTGTTGTAAGCATAAGGCACGAACAAGTTTCCAGAATATTGGGTGTGTTGTAAGGGTTCTTAATCACCCCCCTCTTTTTTCATCATAATACAAAGAAGCTCAGCTTTCGTACGTGTTCAAGAAGAAAAAAAATATTAAAACAGAGTTTTCAGGAAGTGCGCCTAGCTCAAGTGGTTGGGTGAGAGGTGTGGTCATGCACCCAACCACCTAGGTTCAAGTCCTCTCTTGGACTGAATTTGGGTGCTTATTTCTCTTTTTAATACAAAACCACCTAGTTCCTCCTAGGTTGGATCTCGTTCCTATAGTGGGGGCTCTCCCCTGCTGTATTTTCTGCTAAAAAAAAGGTTGGATCTCGTTTTTATTAAAACCAGAGTTTTCTTTGTGAATTATGTGTAGGCAATAAGTTGCAAGGAACAGAACGAAACTCTCTTGAGCTAATATAAAGAAAATAAAAGGTTTAGCATATGCTCACTTCCCCATTTTGAGAAGCATGGTAGCTTTCAAGCTTACCACTAATGAGTTTTGTAACTTCATTGCAGATTGGGCAGCTATCAACAATTCCACCAAAACAAAGAAGTTTTGACAAAATCCAAAAGTATGTACATAACAAATATAGCCTAACCAAAGAAGTATTTGATGGAGGATTCATTCTTGAGAAGATCGATGGCCCACTGTCTACTGGCAGTTTAGTACTTGTGGACACTGATATCGATAGCAACCCCAATGTCACCTTCAACTATTTCCAGCATCCACAGGATCTCAGACGATGTGTCTATGGGATAAAAACAATCGAGAAAATATTGAAGACAAACCATTTCAATAACCTTACTGCCAACGGTGCTGGATATCCAATGGAAACACTGCTCAATATGAGCATATCAGCTAACATAAACTTGATACCCAAGCACACAAATGACACCACATCCTTGGAGCAGTTTTGCAGGGACACAGTAACAACCATCTGGCACTACCATGGTGGATGCCATGTGGGTAAGGTGGTCGATCAACACTATCGGGTGATTGGCATCTCAGGCCTCCGTGTGATAGATGGGTCAACCTTGTTTAGTTCACCAGGAACGAACCCACAAGCGACAGTCCTAATGATGGGCAGGTACAGAACAAAAACTACATATAGTTCTTGTCTAGAATCAAACGGATTCTGACTTCACGCGCTGATATTCCTTTTGTTGTATTTGATGATCAGATACATGGGAGTGAAGATTCTAAGGGAAAGATTAGGACGTGCAGCTGGAGTATAACAGATTCATGGACTTTATCCAGTTCATTAAGTAAGAATGTGACTTAGGAGATAAGTACATAGTAATATTTGAAACGATTCATTAAATCGCCAAAGAAAGAAAAGCTAGGGGCTCAATTTGTATTGTTATTGTTCGTATATAGTCTATCACAATTCACAACGGTGTATTGGTTCCACAATCATAGCCACTCTTGCTTAATCTCACAAATGCTCATATGACAATGACAATGTTCTACATTTTGGACAATACTGTAATCGCATAATCTGACAAACTTGGACTCATCAGAATTCAGAAGACAATGGGCAGAGATGGCGGCAGGTCCAAACGAGGACCAAAGTTGAACGTATTTTCATTCTGCAACCATCTGACATTTTGGCTGAATGGGAATTTCTGAACTAAGGAAAGGCTTAACCAGTCAAGAAACACACGAGCAACATAAACAACAGACCAATGACGTGTGCTGAAAGTCAAAGGGTACTTGAGCAAGCAAATCATATCAGTTTAAGACATGGAAGAAACATGATACCTAATTTAAACAGGCAGCCGTGCTGAGAAGAAGGTCCCCAGTCCACACTTCAAAATCATGTCACTCCATTGAACTGGTACTCTGACGGCTTCCCCAGAGCGAGACCCTGACACAGAAGGAAAACGACAGTGTCACGGCATGGTTATGAACCCATCGATCCACGACCACGAAACCACGAGCTACAGTAAGATTGACAACGCGTACGGCGGTTCCTGGACGCACCCGATATGGTACGCCTGTGTGTGATCCACGGAAGGCACGGCGGAGCTGGTCTGCGGGAAGGGACGATTCGTCAGCTGATATGGCGTGGCTGCGGCATTACTGTGAACATCTGGTATGCATTGACGTTCAGGTAGACACGACGCTGTGGTCGACCATGTCCGGACTAGGCGGGAGAAGAGATGCCTGCCAGCGCCGAGAGGCAGCGGCAGAAGGTTGGTTCAGGGTAGACTTCACGAATCCATAGCTGGAAAGTGGGAATGACGGCGCCGGCGAGCCCGTCGTGGGCTCGTGGCGAGCACCTCAAGCTCTCGACGTAAGGAACGGTGAACCCCGTTTAACTTCTACTTTATCCCGTCAAAATTACTCCGGCGGTCCGTCCGGGCTAACTTAGCAAAAAGAGAGAGAGAGAGAGAGAAATAAAACGGGTCCAACGTATCAAAGATTTGTAATTTTTTCTTTCTAGCTATTCCTCCTAAATTTAAACAACACTTGTGTTAGATACGTGTACATAGACATGTGTCACGAATACACTGTGACTGCATGTGATTACTCTATAAAAACCATCTTCACGGCTCTAACTGGGACACCGTTTGTCATACCTCGAAACAACTCTGGTTACTTTGTGCATAACCAGTGGCCAAGATAGGGGTGGGCTGAGCCGGCTTGCTGAAAGCGGATTCTACCCAAACATCCATTTTTTCTACTGGATGTAAAGGCATAGATATACATGTAAACGTATGTTCCCTCCTCCGTCTTGTAAAAAGTTTTCGCTTTTCAATAAGTCATATATGTTTAATTTTGATCAAATATATATAAGAAAATATTAATATTTATAGTATATAATTAGTATGCTTAGATAGATCATTGAATATGTTTTTATAATAAAATTATTTGAAGATACAAATGTTACTAATATTTTATATAAATCTAGTCAAACTTAAGAAAGTTTAACGATTTTTTTATGAGGACGGAGAGAGTAAGTTGGATCTGATTGTAACCGAATAGAGCACCACACCGGTCTCGTGTGCTACTTCATTGATAGATGTGATATGCCACATATTCATCACTGGTGATAAAAACACTGGCATAAGAGCTTAAATTAATCAATATGTGTGAATTGAAAAGGAAACAAACACCCATGTTTTCTAGTAATTTGGCCAAAATGTTTATTTGGTGCACTTATGTCAATACTAACTCACGTACAGCTAAATCTTCAAGATATAACTCCTTAAGCATGTCAAGACCTACGCCGGAACTAAATAGGATGTCCACGAAGAACATAGCGCTTCTATGGCACAACTAAATAGGTTGTTCCACCAAGACAAGAGTCAATTAGTCACACCATGGTCCATGGACTTTGGTTGCGGAGGCCCATGGCATAGTAAAATGATAGAATTAAATAGGTTAAAAAAGTGGCAAGATATTCTATGAAATTTCTTAAAATGCCATGTTGACATCCTTTCTATTACAACCATCCTGCCAACAAACCCTGCAGTTAAATCTATGAAATTTTCACAAAAGCACTTCTATGAAATTTTCATAAAAGCACGGTTTAAGTAAATGCATAATCTATTGTGCGATATTCAAGGAATTCCACAACATCTTTACATTACCAAATATACTGCTGAACGCAGCAAGCCTTTTTTTTCCTCGAACACGCAACCCAACAGACGACAAAGCTTCAATTTAAACACCGATTCATAGGTACAATATTCAGAGATACCAACACCACACATATTTACAACAAACAAAATATTTGGGGAAAAAAAGCTCTTGGTGCAGTGTGGACAACTGGACATTCATTTACGCCATTGCACCATCATGGTTTCCAAATCAACAGATGATAGGGTTTAACAAATTTGATCATTTGACGCCATTTTGGCCTTCCATCTATGGATCCTACACAGCAAAATATACATGCCTAGCTAGCTACCCCCAAAGAAAAATAACCAATAACTCTACAACTTTGGCAGCAGCCACCCAAGAGCCCACCCAAGAAGAAACCCAGCTCCAGCAAGACCTAACCCAACAGCAAATAAGATCGCGTCAAAGAACCCGCCTCCCTTCTTCTGCCTTCTACCTTTCCTCCTAGTCCAATCTCTCTGTTCCTGACCCTGTGTAGGCTTCTCTTTTAGGGTTAACCATTGAAGTTCAGGTATGATGGCTGCTATCTGATGCTCTTTGTGCTTGAGCTGCAGGACAATATTCTCCAGCTGCATTATTTTCAGCCACTGATTGCAAGCAAAGAGATGTGAGGCCTGTCGGAACAAAAGCTTGATGACATCGTCTTTCTCATTGTGCGCTTTCTTGGCAGCCATATCAGCTTCTCTAGCACGGGTTTGTGAATGGCGGAGTGCCTCCAAAATCTTGTCTCGCTCTGAAGCATTCCGGAGTGTTTGTTTGCTTTCCAATGTGGTGGTGCTACTGCTAGAAAAATATTGAGCCACGCTGCACATAATGAAAATGAGATGAAATGAGTATGTGACCACGATACTAAACAAAATTATAAAAAAAGGGAAGACATTTGAAAGTCTTCAAACTCTGAGGAAGGGTGTATATACTATATATATGTAAACTCTGAGGAAGGGTGAGGCTTGATAAATTTTGAACAAATTAGACTGCATATCCCACCACCAGAACCAAAGTTATCAAGCTTTATTATCTTCTTGCATGCTAAATTATACTTGTAATATGCTGTTGATGAATCTTCTATACCTCAGATATCCATATATGAAATTAAAACAAAATAAGCTGCAAGTCCAGCTACAGTTAGGAAAAAGTACACCTAATGCCATGGGGTAATGCAGCTAAGCTGATGAATTCACACCTATATGTATCATTCCTCCAATGCTTTTCCCAAACTCCATTACCATATAACAAAACCACCTCATCTGTACTTCCTGTGCTATAGCTACACTCGATATGGTCACACTGTCCAGGAACAGGATGTGACACTCTTCCAGCAGGAGATGAAGGTCCCCCATAGTCACCTATATGTTTCGCGAGTATGTGGTTCTGTCCTGTTAATACGTACTGTCTGGGTAGGCCTTGGTAGATCACAATTCTCAATGTGCTGTGTTGCTCTTTCTGCAACCAGTGAAGCCAGCTGGTCCTCATCAGCAATCTGCCACCATGGTCGAGTCTTTTCACCTTTCCAAGGTGCATCCATATCAAAGTTAGCCTTATCTGGGTTCTTCAAAGGTGCTCGGTCAATACATTCAAAATCTGGGGATTCATTATCCTTGTACAAACAAGTGCTGAGAGTTTCTATGCACTTAGACACTTGAGAATAGCTACCAACAGTCTTCATCTCTTCTAAGCCTGTTTCAAGGGAATACTTTGTGAAGGCTGACGAAACCATCCATGGAGGATCCAAAACATCCCCAATCTTTTCAGTGCTGGTGTCAACTGCTTGACAGAGTAATGTTTCCTCATGTTTAGGTGGTGGCGCTGAATCTTCCACTTGCTTCTCATGAATGTCCCTGCCCAACGAACACAGCCGCTCACTAACAATATCCTTCTGGATCCCAAAATTTGGCTGTGACTGAACCCACCATCTGAAATCTGGTGGCAGATTAGAATGCATGGGATTCCATCTCAAAGGCACTAAACTGCAGATGGGACGATCTGCAGAATTTCGACAGTTCCCATTGTTTGTACCATGTTGTTCAGCCGATGGTGGACAGCAAGCTAGTTTTGGAGCTCTCTTCCTGTCCTCCTGAACCAGGCAACGGTTTGCAGCACGTTGCCAAGCAGCCCTTGCTTCAGCAGCAGCCATTAGTTTCACTGATCACAAAACTGTCCACAACAACAACAAATTGTCAAAACCTGATAAGCAATCGCCCACCGAAACAAAACAAGAAATTGGATGAAGATCCATCTCAAAACAGAAATCACACTATCCAAGCGATGCATAAGTCTTTATGTTGATAAATACTGGCATGTAAGCATACTTCCTTGACAATACGAAAGAGGCCAAATGCCCATGAAACAGAAAACTCACTATTACTTTATTACATCCTAGATCAAGACATGCAAGCGTCAATGAAAATGTAAGCTGGGTAAGATTGCATGGAGCACAAGCTGTGGCCAATACTGGCAATACATAAGCATCGAAGCTTCGGATACAGATACTAGACAAATAATTAGCTTATGTTTCTGTCGTCCATCGAGACAAATAAGCCATAAAGCAGTAGGAAGAAAAGGATGCATAGCTGAATCAACAAGTTCTTGTGATTTAGCTCATCATTTTTAGTTTGTTGCAGGAATTTAGGGTGATTAATGTAACATGAAGACAAAAACAAATCAGCTGAATTGACTGGCAGTAACGCAGTACATTGTCAAGTTTATTGCCTCCCACTCCTCCAATGATTCAATCCAATACACAATATAAGGATGCCACTTGCCACCATTTGGGTTTTAGACAATATACATTGGATCATTTTGCTAATAATTTGCCAACCAGTTGTAATGATTCCCATGAGTTGTGCTAATGTCAAATGCGTTGTGTCTATTGGAAGTTCTGGTTAATCAAGAAAGCCATTCTGTTTCTTCGAAAAAAGAAAATCATTCCACGAGGCTGATTGTAGACTCGTTGTTTTCAGATAGCATTACTGAACAAACAGGCCAATTATCAATCTGCCCTCCGATGTGTTATTTTGGTTTTGGCACTGAACTCTGTGGATGGCTGGACCCAGTAATAGAGGACATCGGTGTACACATGTACACCCGATAATTTTTGCAATCAAATCGAAGTTAGTAGCCATAATACACTTCAATCACTAGATCGGATCCTCCGAATACAAATATATGAAGTTAGGGATTGGTTGATCGGTTTCACAAGGCAGGAAGTGAAGAGAAGGGGCGGGAATACCTGGTGGGTGCTCGTCGCAGGAGGAGGGCCGACCAAGACCTGTCTACCTGGCGTTGAGCGGCGGCAGTGGTCCCCCAATCGTCGCCAAGAGAGAGAGCCGCGCGGGGTGAAGGGAGAAGCAAAGGCAGCGTTGAAACGCAGCCCGCGACGGTGCTGGCCGGGAGAGGACGGCCGTCGCCGTGGCGTCGGCTCCTCGTGTTCTTGGGCGTGCGGCGCGGGGCAGCTAACCCATCGGCTTTATGGGTGGGGCAAGGCCGCAAGAGTCGAAAACAATGGATGGATGGTGAGTGAATCCGACAAGTCCCACAGAAATGGAGGAAATCAAGAAACGATGGTCGATGGCAAGCGGATTGGGTGGAGTGGCAATGCACCATTCTTTTTGTTCCGGCCTGTCGGTTTCCGGGCCCGGGGATAATGACTCGTGCGCTTTTTAGTTTTGTTTTGTCACACATTTAAATAGCATCCTCCTAAATTTTCTTACAAATTTACCATTTGCCATCAGGATGAAAGGATTTCTTACAAGTTTGCCGAGCACGACCACTTTTGCTTGTGTAACGTGTCAGGTCATGGCGTCATGCAGGCGCATAAGCAAAAAAAATTATTCAAAACACGGTTTACCGATTTGTTGTGAGAGAAAACGTTCCTGGATCGGAAAAGAAGTTTAAAAAGACGGATTATAAGACAAATTAATGGGACCATAGCGAAAAGACCAAGCTGCCCCTGCTCTCAACACCATTAACCCAGGCGACTCTTTTCTCTCTCCGTGCCCAATCCTTTCGGTGGAGGCCGCCTTTGCCTCCTCGGTTCCCCGTCCCGGTGCCGCCAAATTACCATCGCTGATGCTTGCGCCAGATGCAAGGTACGTGAATGTTCCCTCATCTCTCAACCCTATTTCCTGCTCGGGTTTGGCTATGGTTTTTAGCTAGGGTTTGTGGATTGATTGACTAGGGTCTTTGTTTGATTCGATCCTGCTAGAAGCAAGTTCAACCAACACCTACCTCACTACCACCTGAGCCATCATCACCAGCGTTCCTCTATTCGAGAGCTTCCTACTAAGAAGATTACACCAAGAAGAAAAAAGTGGTTGGCCACCAAAGTAAAAAAAAGGCCTCCTCAACAAAGAAGTGAAAAGGTGAAACTCTTGGTTGTATTTTGGTGGTTGCTAATGTCAAGTTGTAATAGAAAAAACTGATGTTGTCTTCTTGGGCCTGATGGCCACTATGTTCTGTAAGGCACTTACCATCTTGTCCTGGTACTCTATAAATTGATGGCATGTTCTGTTATGTTGAACCTGTTAATCATGTAACTGTCATGTATCTGGCATGTTTTATTTTTAGTCATGTTACACTACATTTCTGCATCTTGTAAACAACACGCTACAAAACATTCACTTCAGGCAACATACTGCGTCTTGGAAACAACACGCTGCATAAATTGGACACCATTTCATTAGGGCAACATACCGCATACATTGTTTTCATTCATCAATGCAAAATACATTGGTCATCAGTTAACGTCCAAGAAGATTACTGCTACTTCCTAACGCACACCAGCACTACTACTGCAACTACCAAAAGGCAACATCTTCATTACCCAGGTCAAATGCTCTATCTTCCCTTCCAATGTAGGACTCCCCAATGCAGATGTCTGAACTGCTTCATCAGAAACACACAGGGATTTTCAATAGAATTGACTTCTTTAATCAGCTCATCTAGTGACTCTTCCACAACATCCAAGTTCATCACAATAATGCTCGAAAGCATTAGCATTTTCAGGTAATCCTTTTGTCACTCATAGACGCCACACCTGCCAGGCATCTACAAAACAACCAACCAAAATGCATACATCAAAATCATGGGTTAAAGCTATTTTGTGAAGACAAGCAACCCAACTTACCAATTCTATATTGAACAGGCATTTGAAGAAAACACGGCCATAGTTCGTCTTGACCCTTAGCTCAATCACCCTTGCCCTTCTAAACCGTGGGCACATGACTAGAGGGAGCCTTGTCTCCTTCCCCAACGGTAATTGAACCAACGACAACTCCATTGCAGGGGTCCTCCCCCTAGAAGCATCTAATAAGCAAACAAAAACCATAGCCAATCAATCCACAAAACCTAGCCAAAACCCACAGCCAACCCCGCGTGGGAAATAGGGTTGAGAGATGAGGGCGTATTTGCACACCCTACATCAGGTGCGGGGCGCAGGCTTCGGCGACAGAGGAGGAGGCCGATAGCAATGGTGATTGGCGGCACCAGAATAGGGAACGGAGGAGGCGAAGGTGGCCTCCACCGAATGGATTGGGCACGGAGAGAGAAAAGAGTCGTGCGGGTTCATGGTGTTAAGGGCAGGGCGACGTGGTCTTTTAGCAATGTACCTTCACATTGACACTATGACCTGGCACGCCACCCAAGCAAAAATGGGGGTTTTAGCAAATTTGTAAGAAATTTGGGAGGGTGCTATTGGAATGTGTGACAGCCGAGAGAGTGGCAAAAAAATAAAAAGTCAATGACTTGTAGGCTGCTTGGAAAGGGAAAGAGGCCGAGAGGATTAGAATGGAAGCGCATGCTAAATCCAATCTTCTTCTACTTTTACCCTTCTTTCTGAATTTACCTGAGGCCTACCCAGCGTCAATTAACAATGACCTGTGACTTCTCTCTTGGATCTCCACTCTTCACCTTCCTCATGAAAACGTTTGGATGAACTTGATTTACCTTTTTGTCTAAAACAAAGGGATGGATTTGAGTTGACAATAGTGTTATAAATAGCGAGCTACGGTGTCTAGTGGAGTCTTCAGAAATATACTAAGTAAGCTATAGCGGTCGCTGTAATTGCGCTAAGTCACTTAGTGTTTTCTTAAAAAAAAAAACATATTATTGCTTGGCGTTTGCTCATTTGCATCTGTCTCCGGTGCCAACTATTACATTCTCTATTTGTGCCAGTGCTTGATTGCTTGTACTACCATTTGGCAGTGTATTTGTTGCATATATAGGCAAAGGAGACGGCCACAGCCGCGACCTCTGCAGTCACTGCATGCAGCCACCTCTTGCAGTTACTCTCAGCCCCTCATACTCGTTGTTCGTAGTTTAATGGCCATTGTTGCCTAGACACACATGATCACCGCGCCACCAGAAAAGTTTAGAACAAATAGCATAGCCTTGGAAAATACAGAGGGGAGAACTAGAGATGCTAGGTTCTGTGAGCACACTTACACACCATGTATAAATAGGTTAAATTTAGGTCAATGGAAATTTTGTTGGGGATAAGTTTGGCCGGCTGCACATTTAGCATGGCTAAATTAAGTGTTTAGGTCGCCAATGCCTGAAATAGCGCTTATAATAATAGCAATAGTAGCTGTGTCGTAGTCCGCTATTTACAGCACTCCTCGACAATGGGGTGACGACGATTTTTCCTAGTATTTACTTCTTCAGTAGGAGTATATGATTTTGAATTAAATACGCTGGCGACCCTTAAACTTGTGGTCCGGTGCTATTTAGATCCACGAACTCTCAAAACCGAAATCTGCCCCCTGAACTTGTTGAGTCGTGCACACAGGTCCATACCCCTTCGAGAGGTGGCGACTAGGATAAAATTTTGCACAAACCACCCTACGTAGTAATTTTGTATCTCTAGCAGTCCTTCCATGCAAGGGCCCACGATGCCTGCATCGCCGAGCGGCCGAGCCGGCCTCCTCCTCCGGCCGGGCACACCAGCAGGTCGCTAGCACCCACCAGGCCACTCGTCCGCCATCACCCCAACTCCAGCCAGCCGCTGCGGCCGCTCGACGCCAACCTGCCGCCATAGCCGCTCGACGCCAGCACGCCACGACCACCGGCTTTCTTTCCCTCCACGCCGCCCGATGAGCTTCGTCAACGCAAGCGGAGCTGTCCGCGATGCCGGTCCGAGCCACGACGCCACCGCGGCTGTTGCTGGACAACAGGAGAGGCTTCAAGCTGGTGGATGAGGAGTCCATCCCAACGGCCTGGCAGTGAACGTGACGGGTCTGGCGCCGGGGATGAACGCCACGAGCTGGACGATCCAATCGTACACGCGCAAGGGCGAGGCGCGCGTGATGTGTGGAATCGCGACACTGTCGGTGCGCGTGGTGCTGGCGTTGGTCAGCTCCTTGGCGCGTCCGACCTCGACGTCCGATTCGGTGGCGGCCTACGCTGCGAGGAGGCCGAGCTACAGGGCGGTGAAGCCCAGGCAGGCGCCGAATGCCAGCGCCACCCCTACCGGCATGCCCACCAGGTTGATGCATGCATCGCTGGCCGGGCGGACGCTGCCGCAGAGGACGCCGCAGTCGGCCGTCTGTGGGCAGTTGCCGAGCTCGCAGAGGCCCATGATGGGGAACGCCACGGCCGTGAGGAAGAGGATGTGCATGTCCGACGTGAACAAGCGGCCCCAGTGGCTGCGGACGGACACCATGAAGGTGGCGGCTGCCAGGCCCATGCCCACACCGATGGGGAGGGCGGCGCCGACGGTGCGCCGCGTCCCTGCGGGGTGGCCCACACCTAGCTGGTGGCTGACGCACGTGGATGCGCCCTGGCCCAGTGAGGATAGGGCAGGTAGACGAGTGATGTGGCCTGGATGAGGATGCCCATGGACGCCATGGTGACGCGCAGGTTAGCCAAGAGGGAGGCCACGATCATGAGGTTGCAGATGGGCCCTTGCAGCAGCACCGAGAAGAGGGAGCACGCCGTGATGGGCACAGTCAGGTTCTGCGACCCGAGGTAGACGCGCAGCGGGTGTAGCACGGCCAGCACCGCGAGGTTGGCCAAGGCGTACCGCGTACGTGGCGAACGTATGCGCCGCATCCGCCACGCCCTCGTCCTGTCCCAGCAGCTTGACCACGCAACCCGTGGTGGTTATCCACAACAGGGAGATGGGCAGCGCCACGGCGAGGAGCAGCAGCACGGTGCGGTGCAGCGCCAGCGCCAGCAGCTTGCCGCGGCGCCGATCGCCCGAGCCTCGCCGGCCACCTGCAGGTGCCATCCAGTACATGTAAGAGCTAGCTAGCTAGCACAGATACGTCTCCAGCGGGGACGGGATGATCTGCCATTTCCAACAGCCTAGGCAAGGATGACTGGAGGTAGAAGATTACTAGGGCAGGGTGGTTTTTGCAAAAAAATTATCCTAGTCAGCACCTTTAGAAGGGTTATGGACCTGCGGTGCACGACTAAACAAGTTCAGGGGGGCAGATTTCGGTTTTGAGAGTTCGTGGACCTAAATGACACAGTGCCACAAGTTTAAGGGCTGCTAGCGTATTTAACTCTATGATTTTCTTATAGGACAAGCCTTATCGACATTCCTTTATTAATACTTGACCTTTTTAACATAAAATTGTTGTCATTAGATTTGTATTGCAAATACTTACTACTTTTCATGATATATACATCATATATATATAAATGACATATTAATAGAGTATATATCAGTCAAAGCCTTTTCATAATGAAACACAATCGAAGTGTCCATACACGTTTGACAGCACGTGTTGTCTCTGACCGAGCAAAGAAGGTTCTTTTTAAATCTATCATTACTGAATTTCAAAACAATTAGGTTTCCTTGCCAAAAATGCACTGCTACGAGTATTTTGAATATTGATCAATATTTTTTTGCGACATCTTTTTGGAACCTTTTCTGATAAATATTTCGTAAAAGTTGTTTGAAGAACTTCTAATTAATAAACTCTTATGGAGAATTTTTTTCACCAAAGATTGTTTGGTAAATTCTTATTTGAAAAGTTCAAAGAAAAAATGGATAAGAAATTATCGAAAAATGAACAAGAAAAGGTTGATGAAAGCTTTGAAATGAAAATTCTAAAAAGGAATCCTACAGAAAATGAAAAAAAAAACAACGAGGAGAAAAATAAGTGGTAGAAAGGGGCAACGGCCGACCAGCCTGCAAGGAGCCTATGGACCTGTTCGCTTCGCTGAAAAGCCAAGCTGAAAAGTATTATTCGCTGATTTGTTATGAGAAAAAAACACTATACCATGGTTGATAAGTTCAAGCCTCTATCCAATCTGTCAATTGGTGGGGAACGCTTTCAATATGTTCATCTTTCGCCTTTGAAATCTTGAACCGAACCTCTCACTCCTCAATCAAAGAGACTAGGCAAGATTCTTTTTAGATAACAGAAAGAATATCTGGCTATCTTCAAAGAAGAGGAATCAGACTACATAATTACAGTAAACACTCTATGATGACAGGAACGAGCTTACAAAATAAAACCGGCTCAAAACTCAATTTTAGAAATAAAAGATCATTCATATGACGCGAAGGAACCCACTCAACAGTGTTATATAAGAGATAGGAAAGCAACATTAGTGCTTAGCCACCCAAGGGCGCTCCCATGAAAAAAAATGTTGTCGGGAAACTTCATGCTATAAAACTATAGTATAATATAAAACTATAGCGGGTTATGATACTTAGTGGTAGCCTCCTTCAAAAGCTATAAAACTATAGCATAATATAGGTTTCATAGAAAATGTAAAAACTCTTAATTAATTCTGTAGAAAAAACATATTGTTAAGGATTTTTTTTGAACACAAATACTCAAATAAATGTATAAGATCTAGGAAACATATTTCTAGGTCCATTACTTAATAAAAGAATCAACCTATCACGGCTATAATCATCCTTCATATCCCTTTAACACTTAAAATCAAACAATTTAAACATTATTTAATACTTCATTATATTATTTCTTAATTAAAGATCATAATGGAGATGTACAGATTATAGTAATCATGAGTAAGGAATGAATATTTGCTTGGTTAATATTGGCGATGCTAAACATATTTTGTTGCTAAACCAAATGGTGGTGTTCGCGGGAGCTATAACATGAATAGCGGTAATAGCAAAACAATTAGTAATATCATAGCGGTGGATGTAGAAAAAACTATAGTGGGCTATTTCTTATATGTTCTATAACACTATATTGATTTATTGCTAATTTGTAATATATAGGAAGGAAAAGACAGCATTTGAGGTGATACAGATCACAAAAGAGGATGATAGCTTAATTTGGGCCCTAGAACTGTCAGGCAAACTTTCAAGCAAATCCCTCTACAGATTTATGGTGAATCCTGGAGGGGTGGACGGGAGAATGGTAGATTTGTGGGAAATTAAGCTTCCTGAAAGGATTAAGATGTCCAAGAGGGGGTGAATTGGACTAATTCTAAATTTCTTTGCAATAATTAAACCCTACGGTTAGCCCAATTAACCCCTTGTGCCTAGAAAGTATTTCTATTGATCTATCGCACAAAAGTTTAGCAACCTATGTTCCAATCCTACTCTAGCATGGCAATTCTATGAATGTAAATGACAAGAATTGAATTGCTCAAAGTAAATGCTCAAAGTAAAGAGAGAAGGAGGAACACGGCGATGTTTTGCCGAGGTATCGAAGAGTCACCACTCCCCACTAATCCTCGTTGGAGCACCCGCGTAAGGGTGTAGCTCCCCCTTGATCCGCGCAAGGATCAAGTGCTCTCTACGGGTTGATTCTTTGACACTCCGTCGCGGTGAATCATCCACAACCGCTCATAACTTGAGTTGGGTCATCCACAAACTCCGCCGGATGATCACCACGCTCCCAATCACCACCAAGCCGTCTAGGTGATGGCGATCACCAAGAGTAACAAGCACGAACTCTCACTTGACCACGACAAGTCTAATGAGAAGGGTGGATGCACACTTTGCTACTCTTGCTTTCATTAATGAAGACTCTCTTTGGGATTCTCAAATCTCAATCATCTTACTAGGACCTTGCTCTTCTTGGCACTCTCAAGGGTATTTCTCAGCTGTTGGAATGAGCAAAAGTACCCCCACACACGAATGGAGGAAGTATTTATACACCCAGCTGAAAAATGAACCGTTATGTGCCTCTGCGGGGTGACCGGACGCTCCGGTCAGGTTAACCGGCCGCTCCAGTCAATTCTCCCCGAAATCTAGTGTTTAAGTTGTTACCGGACGCTGGACATCTGACCGGACGCGTCCAATCACGATTTTCCCTCTCTGGAACCTTACTGGAGTCGACCGGACGCTGGCACCCAGCGTCCGGTCGCACCAGACGAAATCACCTTAATCAAATGAACTGACCGGACTCTGAGCCAGCGTCCGGTCACACCGGAACCAGCGTCCGGTCAATATTTAACCCTCCATTCACTTCCAACTCGCAATCATATGTGAATGAAGTTTGCTCCAATTGATCTAAGGGCTTTTTAAGAGCTACCTAGTGCTAGATTTAGCGAGTGTGCACCACACCTAACCCACTAGACTCACCTAGGTCAAGCTACCCGTCCATACCTCCCTTAATAGTATGGTCAAAGGAAAAACAAAGTCCTAAACTACTCTAAGTGTCTCTTCAACACCAAACGACACTTAGAACTAGTCTATCCTTAACCTTGTCGTCCATCCTTTGAAAATCGAAACGATTTCTATCGTAGGGGCATGACAACCATGATTGCCCAATCGATCTCCATTACCATGACCTAACTTAATTGCCTCTGCAAAACACACATTAGTCATAGTAATCACGTATTGTCATTAATCACCGAAACCCAACTAAGGGCCTAGATGCTTTCAATCTCTCCCTTTTTGGTGATTGATGACAATACCACCTCGAGTATGTGAAAGAGTTGAGGTTTTTAACATGCTTGGATCATATAAGCTTTTGATGATAAGAACAAAAGAGTTAGACAAGCTTATATGACCCAAGCCAACATGATGTACTCAATAGATATGAAATAAACATGAGTACAAATAATAACGCTCAATTGCATCGGAGTAAAATGTGGAAGCAAAGCAAATGAGCATAACACAAGTGATATGACATATAAATAATTCAAAGTAGAGAGCACATATGTCACATATCACATAAATATCACGATCATGTAGATATCACTATCACATAAATATAGTTTGATGCATGAAAGTAAACACACAAATGCATAATAGTGTATCACACAT